TGTGCCAAGGATGGCGGCTTTATTTGACGATGTCGACGAAATGTCTAGGTATATACCAAGTCAACGGTCCTATGCTTAAAATCATCATGAATACCTAGCAGAGGACTTAGAACTAGGTACGTCCCGTTCCGAACAAGTTGCTATGACGAGGTCAAGCCAACACTGTACAGCTAGAGGGGACTGTGACCAAACCAAGAGCCAAATTCTTGATCTTCACATCTAAAACCAAAAAAAGACAATTTGCTTAATAATGGGGCCTTGTGCACATGAAACGAATGCCATGAGAGAAAGAAGTTTTATACTTCATATTGTGGGCCCGCGTCCCACTTGCATTCTTCGTAGATCCTTGCACAGGGGGAGGTGTCGGCAATATCGGCTACCAGATCAGCTAGAACACTTTGTTACAATCTATGGCTGGAATTAATTTCCATACCAATAAGGCGGTGCAATTTTGTGAAAAAGTCTCCAAATATTCATAAAAAACTTGTCAGGTTCATTTTTCCATCAACGAGAACAATGTGGTTTCAGTACGTAAGGACTCGTAGGATGCGAAGACATTCAATCCTCGTCACCGTAACCCCGAAATTTAGCGTTAACTCCTCGGAAGGTTCATTTGCCAATTAGTAAACAGAGAAGACGTGTGATAGATCTATTTTCCTAGAGCACACCAGCTTCATTGCTAGTCCCATTCTAGATTCAGCAACAGCCAATCTTTTGGCTTGAAATGAAATGACTTGTTGCAATAATAGTTGCTGATTATTTTTACGATGTTTAAGCTATTTCGCGAGTTTATTCACACGAATATTTGTTTCTATGTCTACTTTTCTCCTTTCTCTAAACGTTATATTACAAGCCAAATGATAATGAGGATAGCGTCTGTAATTTTAACTTTCGAAGTATGATAGGAATAAGCCATTATTGGAAAATACCTGGTCTTCCTCAACTTGGCATTTCCTCTGTGACCCAAGGGCATTCATGACATTATGGGATAGTGGTTAAAGTGTTGAGATTACACGCTGCAGTGTCATAGTTCGAATCCCTCTGGAGGTGCTATAAGACCTAGGTGAGGTCGAAACTACACTCCACCCTGAATGAGAATATTTTTTGGAAGTGGGGCTGTGAAATTCAATGGAAACTTATGGTCTACTCACATCATTTTCGGAAAATTAAACTACTAGTCTTTCATCATCTCAAACGAAATAGAATGAATACACCTCATATACAAAAATGCTTATTGAGGACCTTGGGTACTGGTGGTTAGTGAAGGTAGTTTCTACAAGCTGGTTAAATTGTCTTGGCATAAGCTTGGGTAAATAGATGATAATTTTTGCTGTTTTTATCTTTTTAGGGATGAAGTAAATAATTTCTTTTTTTCTTCCAAATGACCTAAAGCGATGACACACCTATGGTGCGCCGAGCCATTGCCTGTCGCCTCGGTGAATTGGCACTCTCGATGATAGACACATATGAAGAGCGTCAGAAACAGTTAGCATTGGCAGCCGCAGCTTCTGCGCCCACTACCACCACCACAAACTCCGCTTCATCTAACATTAATGGTTCAAAATTGAAGACATCCTCCTCTCCTCGTGTACTAAAGCGTGTCCGGCGTCAGAGACACAGTAGACGGTCAGATGGACCCTCGAATAAAGCTAGAACCGGCCTGCCAGACGAAGCCGGCGAGGTTGGAACTTATCAATCAGCCAAAGATGGTCAGAGCCCAGAAATACCGATAGGAAACGAATCCGATTTAACTTCTGATACAAAAGTGGCGCCTGAAGAGGAGGAGAACATCGATGATGAGGATTATGACGAGGCCGATGATTATGAATATGATGAAGATAACGATGAGGTCAAGCTGGAGGAGGCCGCTGTAGAGATATCTACTGAGGGGCACGAGTTTCTTGGCCATACCACTGAGCAGAGTGAGCAAATGGCACTACATGAGGAAGCTGGAGAGTTGGAAGGCGAAGGTTAAACATTCATTTATAGAAACAAGTTTCATTAATTCTTTCCTATTTATATATTTTCTACTAATCCCTCCTCTTCTCCCTTTTCCACACTGGAGTTTACACGCCCTGGGAAAATGAATTTCTCGCATATCTGTTCTTTTTATCAATTTACAATTAACCCTTCCAGGCAATTACTATAGAATTTTGGACAGCAAACAGAATGACAAAGAAAACTTCGTTATTCGTCCCGAATGTTAATGGCTTTTGATGGTGATGAAGTTTACATTTCTTCGTATATCACGAGACTCCTCCTTTTAAGACAATAACTACCCACATGGATCCATAGGTTTATTATGAGGATCTGGCGTCTTGCACAGAATCGTATCGCATTGATGGTGTCTGATTTGTAGTTGAGATAGGAATAAATTCCACCCTTGGATTGTAACTAACAGGCTTGGTTGATGCGAGAGTTGATAGTTCGGATACCATTTCTCGTTACTGGTCGGAGTGCAAGGGTCTACGAAGGATACAGGTTTGACGTCGGCCCTCTATATAAGCTGTAAAACCTTGTTTAGTTCACAACATTCTACTACCAGTCCTTCATCGCGTTAAACGAAATAGGGTAAATACATCTCATACTAGTGAAATTTTGTTTTACCTGTGATCTGTTCATTACTTCTCTTTGAACAAAGAAATAGAACTAGTTATTGAATGTAACTGGATCGTGGATAAAGAAATGCCAAAGCCTTATTTGCTTAGAGCCAGTTACTTTGAATTCACCCACTTTTTTATACTGCTATTTTGCTATTTTGTGGCTTCACTACTAATAGCTCTCATTAGCGCCTATTTGAACTCTGGATTTATGTTGCTTATGTATCCATACTTGCTACGGCCGTTCTACACACTAATGACTCATACTCACGCTCGTTCTTTGATTTTATAATTATATTGAAACCATTTATCGTAGCAAACGTTTACTTAACAATCGTAAATGTTTTACAGGCGGGTGCTTCTATGCCCTTCCCTTGTATATATGCTAGACTGGGTTAATTACTTCAACTTGTGTGACTCATTGATCTCGATCGTTGCTTTGATGTTTACTGAATTCCGACACCAGTTTAAGGTTAAGTAAACCTTCTTCCTTTACCCAGTGCACAGAACTGAACTTTTGACACGTCTGCCGCATAATCAGAATCCGATATAATATGTGAAGACCAAGAGGGTGTGGCCCCCGGTATGGTCGCAGCCTCCTTTCGATTTATAGAAGTGGGTTGACCTCGTTTTCGCAACTTGGTCTTGTTGTCAGTGGGACGTAGTTGTACGTACCTTGTCCGAGTTTCTCTTCCATAGTAGCTATCATAATTCCCAGTATCAGACCGTGGACTTGGTAAATTCTTAGACGTTTCGCCGGCATCGTAGTCGGCATCATCGGTGAGCCTTGCCATTCTCCGCACTTAGCTACAAACTCGTCAAATAGATAAGTGAAGCCAATCCCTCGATCAAAGTTCTGCCTGAACGGTTACATTATCACTTCTCTTTCTGTCCTGGCCCATATATTGACTCTTTACTCTCTTATTAACTCCCGCTCTATCATAACTTATAACTTGTGTCAAACTCGTCAAAATGTGTCATTCTTTGGCAAATTGAGTGTGGCCTCATCACACTTGCTATCCATCCTGGTCCCCTCTCTTTCGATCGGCTAATCCGACTCGGGCCTCCTATCCGGATCTCCCTCATGGTCCCGTAGATCCGTCTCTCATCTTTCTGGTTGACCGCTTTCACTCGGTTCCAGTCCCAACCTGCGCTTCACTTTAGGCGCTATTTCTCAAGGCCCTTTAAGCATGTACACTGCCTCTTCACTGAGCAGAGCGCCTAAGCTCTGATTGCCATGCTTGCAGATATCAGGCCTTCTCTTCACGGGTCCTCTTTTTCATTAAACCCTTGTTATCTGAGCAAACTGTGAACGCCTATCTCTGGTCGTATGCGGCATATCAAGTGGATTTTTAGTACATTTTGGCCTTAACGCCGAATTTCCGTGACGGTTTGCTTATCCGTCTGCCCAGCTACCTGACTGCCAGGCTTCCAAAGTTTTACTGGTCTGTTCGAAGCGGACATCACTCACTGACAACATCTTCGCTTGATTGCAGAAACTCCCCGCCCCCCACTTTCCTCATCGCGATCCATTTTCCTTCTGTTAACGATAGATTCCTGATCCAGGCGTCTCCTTTTTGCTGGTCTTGTTCTATTCTTGTTTTCCACGAGTTTGCTTAAGCAGTAGATAAAGTTCATTAGATTTTTCTCCTTAAGGACTTCAATGGCCTCCCTAATCTTCCGCTTCCTTGTGTTTTCACCGTATGAGGCCTTTCTTTCTGTTGCCTTCCAATTGATCTCGTGTCCAGTCCGTGCGATGTGTTCCGCTAATTTTGATCTTTTGGTATCTATTTTCCTGCAGATCCCTTGCTGTTTATTGATTCGTATGCTAATTTTTCTCTGTCTCGCTAATATAAGTATGTTCGTATGCGCCGCATGATATACAGTAAGCTCCTGAACAATCCAATTTGTCTGTCCTTTCATGTTCTGTTGTTAGACTTATAAAAAGTGTTGATTTCTTTTTCATGGCCACTCAAATATTCCATTTCCTCAATCTTGGTTGTAGTTTCTGAATTAGTTCACAGGAAGGTAGGCATATCGACTTTTGTGAATCCTTCTCCTTCCTTACTGTTCTTTCATAGTCCCCGTTCTGCCATCGGCTTTTTACGGTCCTTATGTTTCTTTGTATTAATTCGCTTGGGTAGCCATTGTCGAGGAATATCCTAGTCAATTTGTTTGGGTCTTCGTCCCAGAATTCTACGTCCGTTAAACGTAGGCTTCGGATGATCATGCTTCTCATTATTCCTATCTCTAATCTGTAATTGTGATGGGACCGTAAATTGAATATCATCCCAGCATAAGACTTCTTTCTGAACAATTGATTTTTAAGCGTACCATTAGAGCTAAGCACTTGAACATCCAGTAACGCTAACCGCTCACCTTCCTCTACTTCCATCGTGAATTTAATTTTTTATCAATCTGGTATATAAACTTCAGAAAATCTCCCAGTTTTTTCTTTTTCATGTGACCAAAGCGCGAATTAATCATCCAGGTACCGTATAAGCACGGCTGATTGCAGTGGTGACATCTTCTATTTTGTTCATGTATACATTTGCCAAAATTGGTGAGTGACGATCTCATGGGAATTCCAAATATTTGTTCATAGATGGTACCGTTGAATGTAAAATAGGTTGTCCCTATTGTCAAGCTGATTAGCCGTATCAACGACTTCCTCCTGATCTGTTGTGATTCCAGGATATACTCCTCTCGGTATAGGATTTCCAGCAGGGCCGTTAGCACTTTTTCACTAGAGATATTTATTTACATGGGTTCCACATTATACTTACCAAAAGTCTGTTTCTTCCAGTGCTAGGTTCTTGATTTTTTGAGAAAATTCAAATGAATGCTTCACTTTGTTTGATAGCCTGTCATTTAATTTCTTGAGTTGCTAACATATGAACTTTGCCCATTTGTGTGTTGCTCCATATCTGTTGTTGACTATCAGCCTTAATGGTTCGCCTTCGTTGTGTATCTTCGTTAATTCGTAGGCCTTTGGTGTTCGTGCATCCTTTTTTATGATTGAATTTTTGCCCATTTTCCCTGTTCCTATGCATGTTTTTCAGAATGTCACTTAAGATTTTATTTATCTTTATATTTGGGTCCTTCCTTAGGTTACGATATGTCGTCCTGTCTCGTAGAATATTTTCGATCTTCTCGGAATATTGTTTTTTGTCCATTATCCTTGTCGCCCCTCCGTTATCTGCCTATAGGACTAATTGTTCATTCGTTTCCAGCTTCTTGCATATCCTGGCAAATCTGTTCCTGGTTCTTGATGTGTCAAGATCTTTGGAATTAGTTCCATCTTCATTTCCCGTTTTGTCTCCTAAGGGAACTTTTCAGAGATATTGGTAAATTCTACTACGATGTCTCCTAGAAGGCTTCTGTCATTTTGAATTGAAAAGTTTAGTCCTTTTTCCAGGAACGCCGTTGTTTCGGGATTGAGAGGAAATGATGATAAATTCACTCCTTTTTTATCGTTGTGTTGATCAGTAGATG